TAGTAGTAGTAGTAGCAGTAGTATTAGTAACAGCAGTAGAAGTAGTAGTAGTAGTAGTGACAGTTCCAATCGTATTATTAGTATTACCGTTAGCATCAGTAGTCGTAGTAATACAAGCGATCGGCTGTACCAGCAGCAGTAGTAATAAACGTACCAACTCACAGCGCCAACGGCAATAAAACCACAGCTAAAGTGAGACGATCAAGAACGACAGTAGTTGCATCAGCAGACATGCGCGTAGCCGAAGTACTACTCGTACTAGTAGTACGAGGTGCCAATACTAAGTGTAGTACTGTTTACGGTGGTAAGTGTAGGAGTACATGCGTTCTGCTATAATATGCCCCGCTGGCCGACTGCACGAGTGCAACCAAAAGAGCTCCAAGAGGGCCCCGCGGGGCAAACATCGCCCCAATTCCGTGGATAAGCGCACATGCTTAGCATGCTCGTCGTATCGATCCGAAGAGCGTCCAAAATTCAAGACACAGGCCCCGAAACTGCCCCTAAGTTGACCCCAGTGGGCCCCAAAACGGCCGAGCAAGCGCCCAATGGTGCCCAAGGGGGCCCCCGAGATCGCCAGCGAATTCCGCAGAAAAGCTCCTCCTCGGATTCCTGATCCCGCTCGTCCCCCTTGCCCGCATCAATCCTGCTCCTCCTCCTCCCCTCCTCCTCCTCCTCCTCCTCCTCCTCCCCGTCCTCTCCTCCTCCTCCTCCTCCTCCTCCTTCTCCCCCTCATCGTCATCATCATCACCCTCGTCGTCATGAAGCATCCACCTCTCCCCCTGGTGCTCCTCCTCGGGCTCCTTACTATCCCAGTCGCCCCACGCTCCTCCTCCTCCCCGTCCTGGAGTAGGACGAGCCCAAAGGAGCCGAGGACGGCCCCAAGGGAACCCGAGCGGCCTCACTGTCATCATTATCATCAGCAGCAGCGGCGTCATCAACGTCATGCGCAGATTCGCCTCATTGTGGCAATCGTCTGTATAATCCTCGTCCTCGTCATCATCATCGTCATTGCCATCGTGATCATCAGCAGCGGCAGCGGCATCACCAACGTCATGCTCATGATGATCAGGTTCGCCGCCGTTGTGGCAATCGTCGTTATCACCATCATCATCATCATCATCATCATCATCATCATCATCGTCACCACCATCGTCATCAACGTCAGTACTATTACCAACGTCACCGCCGTCATCATCGTCATCACCTGCATCATCATCATCATCATCACCATCATCATCACATTCATCATCATCATCATCATCATCATCACCATCACCAGCATCATCGTCACCACCACCACCACCACCATCATCATCATCAGCATCATCATCATCACCTTCCTCATCAGAATCTCTCAGAATCTATCGGAAGCTCTCAGAATCCTTCAGAAGCTCTCAGAATCTCTCAGAACCTTTCAGAAGCTTTCAGAATCTCTCAGAATCTCTCAGAACCTCTCAGAACCTCTCAGAACCTTTCAGAATCTCTCAGACTCTCTCAGAACCTCTCAGAATCTCTCAGAACCTCTCAGAACCTTTCAGAATCTCTCATTATCTTTCAGAATCTCTCAGACTCTCGCAGAATCTCTCAGAATCTCTCAGCATCTCTGAGAATCTCGCAGAATCTTTCAGAATCTCTCAGAATCTCACAGAATCTCTCGGAATCCCTGAGAATCTCTCAGAATCTCTCAGAATCTCTCAGAGGCTCGCAGTGGCTCTTAGAACCTTGCAGAGGCTTGGAGCTTTACAGAGGCTCCAAAGTGGTTGGGATCTCACGCGTCCCACGTGTCCTTGACGGTTGGGATCTGAACCGTCCGGTTTGGATCTCACGCGTCTGGTTGGGATCTGAACCTTTTTCTCTCCCTGGGTGGGAGGGGTGGGGGCCTGGCCTTCGACTGTCTCCAGCAGGGGCAGGATGGGGCCCCCTCGGGCCTCCAGGGCTGCCGTGAGGCGATCCCTGTCGCCCTCAGGGAGCTGGGTAAAGCCCACCATCGCCGTAGCTGGTGGTAGTGGGCCGTCGACGCAGGCCATGTGGAACCACTTCCTGCCCGCGTGCGCATGGGACCCCGCGGGTGGTGTCACGACGCCCGCCACGCGCCACTCGCCCGCCTCGAACCTCCCATGCAGCGCGCGCAGTGAGCCTTCTTGCCACGGGCCGCCTGGGCGCTGACACACCAACGGGTGATGCGTCCGCCCGTCCTGCGGCGCCGCCTCTGTGCTGGCTGGCCCTCGATGTCACGCATGTGGACGCCGGTGCTGCCATCCACTGGGATGTCGGCTGCGCGCACGCCTGCCGACGCGGGAGCGGCAGCGGAGGCGCACGGGGCGGCCCCAGCACCTCCACTGCCTCCCGCAGCTGCCAGTACTACTACTACTACTACTACTACTACTACTACTACTACTACTACTACTACTACTACTACTACTACTACTACTACTACTACTACTAGTACTACTACTACCACTACTACTACTATATACTACATACTTACTACTTACTTACTACTACTATACTATTACTACTACTACTACTACTACTACTACTACTGTTACTACTTGCTACTAATACTACTATATACTACTACTACTACTAATACTACTACTACCTATTGCTAATTATTACTACTACTACTACTACTACATACTACTACTACTACTTACTTCTTCTACGACTACGACTACGATTACGAAATACTACTACTAAATACTTACTACGATGTTTACATATTACTTACTACCACTACTACTACTACTTACTATACTACTTCTACTAATTACTACACTACTAATACTACTATGCTACTACTATACTACTATGACGCTATCACTATTACTTACTAGACTACGAGTAATACTACTACGACTACTACTCACTTATGAACTAATGCGCTGCTCAATGTCTACTACTACTATTCCACTACTACTACTACTACTACTACTACTACTACTATTACTACTACTACTACTACTACTACTGCTACTACTACTACTACTACTACTACTATTATTACGGCTACGACTACGACTACTAGTGCTACTACTAGTATTGTTAGTAGTAGTAGTATTACTACTACTACTGCTAGTAGTACTACCTTACTACTACTACGACCACTACTACTGCTGCTGCTACTACTACTACTACTACTACTACTACTACTACTACTAGTACTATTACTACTACTACTACTACTACTACTACTACTACTACTACTACTACTACTACTACTACTACTACTAATACTGCTGCTGCTGTGCTGCTGATGCTGCTGCTGCTCGCTGCTACTACGTGATGCTACGGACTATGTTACTGCTACCACTACAGGGACTACTTTCCTCCTCGTTCTCCTCCTCCTCCTCCTCCTCCTACTACTACTACTACTACACTACTACCGCTTTACTACTACTAGAATACTTCCCACACTATTACGACTACTATACTACTACTACTACTACTACTACTACTACTACTACTACTACCACTACTACAACTACTACTACTACTACTACTACTACTACTACTACTACGACTGCTACGACTGCTACTACTACTACTACTACTACTACTACTACTACTACTAGAGCTGCTTTTTCTACGACTACCACTTTTACTACTACCACCTACGACTACTACGACTACTACAGCTACTACGACTACGACGATTACCAGTACTACTTCTAATACTACGACGACAGTTAGTACTAGTCGACTGGTACTACGACTACGTTATCATTGCGACTACCACTACTAGTACTGCGACTACTAGTAGTAGTAGTAGTCGTACTACTACTACTACTACTACTACTACTACTAATACTACTACATACTAATACATACTACTACTACCATACTAGTTACTATCTAGACTACTAGTTATACCACTATGAACTTACTTGTATGATTTATTATTATCTATTTCTACGACTACTACTTTATTATTACTACTTACTAATACTAGTACTACTACTACTACTACTACCACTACTACTACGACGAACGACTACTACTACTACTACTAATAATCACGTACTACGAACAACCCCTGACTACTATACTATACTACTATACCACTCGTCCTACTGCACTACTACTACTACTATTACTACTACTACTGCTACTGCTTACTTACTACTACTACTACACTTACTACTATACTACACTACTACTACATACTACTACCACTGCTACATTACTACGACTACTACTGCTACTACTACTACTAGTACTTGTGCTACTACTACTACTACTACTACTACTACTACTACTATTACTACTACTACTACTACTACTACTACTACTACTACTACTACTACTACTACTACTACTACGATACTACTACGATACTACTACGATACTACTACTACTACTACTACTACTACTACTACTACTACTACTACTACTACTACTACTATTACTACTACTATTACTACTACTACTACTACTACTACTATACTACTACTACTACTACTTACTACTACTAGTACATATACTACTAGTACTACTAGCTACTAATAATACTATAATACTAATAGTACTACTAATAATCTAGTTTTTACTACTACTACTACTACTATTACTACTACTCTTACTACTATACACCTAACTACTATACTACTACTATTAATATTTTACTACTACTACTACTACTACTACTACTACTACTACTATTACTACTAGTACTACTACTACTACGACGACGACTACTACTACTACTTTTACTATCACTTTTTCTACGACTTCGACCTTTGACTGACACGAACACAGGTACTTCCCACAATTAGTTCACAATGGCTAATTCGTAGACTGTGCTTGCAGCTTTCCGGGCAGTGTTTTAGTGAGGGAGTTTGGATCCCCGGAGTTGGTGGCAAACCGTGGCTCTCCTTTATGCCCCCCTCGTGAAATGTGTCATGCTGTCAGCGGGACACGCTATAGAGTGATCCCACGACACGCAAGCACACACATGAACACCAACCGAGATCAACCGGGTTGGCGGATAATATGCACAGCATCGGTGGTTGCTCGGCAGTTTCGGACAGTTGTGATGATCCGTTTGTGAGGCATGTCTGTTGCTCGACGTGCGCACGGGCTCCGACAGTCAGCAGGGACGGTGATGTTGACATTGATCCTGCTGCTACGTTGGACAGGTTTCCGATTGACGCCACCAATGTCAAGAAGGAGCACTTCAATCTCAACAGGCGCGGGGAGCATCTCCTGCTCAGGGTGCCATCTGACCCGGAGCTTCGACCGTCGTTGGAATTGCACGGCCATGTCTCTGTAGACATCGGCCTCACGTGCAGAACTTACATGTCCGACGTCACCGTCAGCGGATCGTGGCTCGGCAAACAAATGGTGAGTTTCCGCCCGATGCGAAAGAACAAGTTCAACAAAGACAAGTCCTACCCTTTCGCGGCGAGGGTGTTCTCGACCGAGGACTTGAGTGGGCCGTGGAGGCCGCCCGAGGCCTTCCCCGGAAAGGAGGAGGTGTCTGGCCTCGTGACAATCGGCCTCGCGCGCTCGAAGGACGAGAAGAGTGGCGGCGCCAACGAAACCTTCGTGCTCACGGTTGGTCTGGATCCGAACTCTGCCGCGATCCTCGTCTCCCAGGGGACCCACGGCCTCCACGCCGAGTTGCACAGGCCTGGCGTCGGGTGGCCCAAGCCGCAGAGGAGCAGCAGGCTCGGCTGCACGTAAGAGAGACCCTTCGCCGGAGTGACCGCTGGTGCGGGCCCAATGGGTCCCCCAAGCGTTGGCTTGTGCGCTTGGATCTGCCTCCCCTCCCGCGGCCCTGTGGAGCCGCGCAACACAGGTCATCCCTGCCCAGGGTCGTTTTTGCATGTGGGCGAGGGGAGGGGGGGGGATGGAGGGCTGTCGTCGGCTGGGTGCAAGGTGCTTTTTGACGTTGGCTAGCATGGAAGCGGCGCCAGCAGGGCGGCACGATCACCGCTAGCTGCAACATGGCACGGTTGCCTACAATATTGCCACTGGTTCCCCGTCCTATCCGCAGTCTACTGGAGTGGCGCCAAACTCCATGGCGTTCCACCCGCATGTGCCGCCCGACGTCCCCCCCCCCAACGACGGGCGACGGCAACCTGCCCCCCCTCCTCTCCTTCCCCTGCTGGGCTATTCGACTCTGGTTGCAGCATTGGCTTCCCTTTCTGTCCTCCTCCTCCTCGTCCACTTACTCCTCCTTTTCCCTTTCAGACCCTCGGACAAGAACCGCAACTAGCAGCCAGCAACGATAACACCAACCAGAAACCAGGTTGCGACGACAGTTCACCGGCCATCGCCAACACGAATAACAAACACTGACCATCATCACCAGGCAGAGCATAACGACCTCACACATAATTATCACAATCATTCGCAGACATGCGCGGTCAGTTTCAACAGACGACAGTGTCAGCGAGGTAGTCCTGGAGCTCGAAACCGTTCATTGGGATTTCGCCTTCATCAGCGAAACGTGGAGAACAACGGCAAAGGTCTTGTCTTTTGAACAACCTCGGGAGGACGTGCCTTCGCTAGATCCGCAATGACCAAGCACCCCGTGGAGTTGTGACGCTGGGCCAAAGCACTTTGCGATTCCAAGCGTTTGCGCCCAGACTGTCATCGGCATCACTGAAGAGAGGACGAAGGCAACTACCCATCGCGGCAGCATAGTTATGTTTCCCAGTCGGGATGGAGCGACCCGCACGTGCAGCGCATACACGTTCTAATCCACGATCTTCACAGAGAAAGCGCGAAGACACGACATCACATGATATACGCATGTGCTTTCCATGCACAGGTTGGAGCTTCCGTCATTCCCGAAGACGCAGACGGCTACAACGCCGACAAGTTCGATAACACCATTTCCAGACATGTTGGCCGCCACGGGCACGGGGACCAAGACTCGAGGGGCACTGGCTACGTCATTGGGCAACCCAAGAGGGCCTCGCTATTGCAAATACATCTTCCCGCAAGCCGGTGCACAAGCAAACCACTTAAACCAAAAGCGACTAGCACAATCAATTCGATTACGTACTGCTGAGCCGCACGTTGTGTTGGTACTGCACCAACGCAGAGGCCAACAGCAGGACGAAACTCGGCTCCGACCACAAGGTTGTGACCACCGACATGCGGATACCAGCCGCAATCATAAGCAAACGGCCGCGACACGACGACGACACATTTCAGCAACACCGCCTTCCCACCCAAATCTTTATTTTCCAAAAATGATCACCAACTCGCAACTTCACCATGACCACCAACAGCTTAACTTGCAACAGCACAGATCACCTTCCGACCCGCAAGCGGTGAGCGAGCACATCCAACCAGTCGTCGTCGACGCCGTTGCCGCAAGCAGTGCCGCGACAGAACCAGCCCCACCAACACATTCACAAGCAAACCAACAATCGACCAAGGACCAACACGACCAAACAGTGCAATCGCACAATTACAGCGGACGCCCAACAACGACCGCACCCGCAAGCAGCTGAGCAAACTCACGCAGCAAGATGTTCAGCACCAGAAGCGGACGACACGACGGGCCCACATAGAATATCGACTTGAGCAGTTTGAAGATTCGAAGAGCTCATTACCTACATGGCAAGCACATGAGGGCACCACATGCACGACACTACAAGATACCGCACGCGTTTTTCTGTGGATTTATACGAGCAGATGTACAACCCGACAGCAGAAAGGACGCAGCCGGAATCACCAAACGACGACCCCACCTACCAGCAAATCGACCAGCAGACAGACCAGCAGACCGACCAGCAGACCAGCAACAGTCCAGCAGACTGAACACCAGACCAGCCGTCCGTCCATCAGAACAGCAGACCGACCACCGACCGCCGAGCAGCAGACCAGCAGACCGACCACCGACCGCCGACCAGACCCACCAACTACCACAGCGACTGAATGGCGACCTCACCGACTGGCAGACCAACAGACCGAACGCTGGACCCATCGATCGAGCAGATCGACCACCGACTGCCGAGCAGCAGACCAGCAGACCCACTACCGACAACCGACCAGCAGACCCACCCACTACCACAGCGTCCGATCGACGACCACACCTACAACTGACCAGCAGACCGACTAGCGGACTGACTAGCAAACTAGCGCACCGACCACCGACCGCCAACGAGCAGTCCACCAGACCGACCACCGACCACCGGTAGAGGGAAACAATTACTGAACACTCCCCCTCCCCCCAAACTCAATATTGGCACGCGCGGGGGACATTGTGGCCGAAGTGCATCTCATAAGACCCACCGCCAATTTTGAACATTGGGGAGAGGGGGAGGCGTTGACGGATGGATGTGGCATGAGTGTTCGCTAATTTGTTCCGAGGCCTGATTGACCAGCAGATCCACCGACCTCCACTTTTCGCACTGACAGAGCTAGACAAGGTGATTAAAGCAGACACCAAAGGACTCTGCGCAGAAATGCTTCCAAGAGGGCACAGAAGAATTCATGTGTGCATTATTCTACCGCCCAGCGCGATTCTGCAACGCAGCGCCCCGCCGCCGGCCAGTGGGAAGACCGCAAACCGACCGCCCCGTTTGTACGATGCCAGTGTTGTGCATGCGGAGCACTACGCAGCCGACTTCTATACGACAGGCGGCAACCAACATTTGACTCCCACCAGACTGCCGACCAGGCGGGCTACAGACCAGGCCACTCGACCACAGACTTTTCTCCACCTTCCACCCATCACGCGAGCGTGCGCACGAGCGGGTCCACCATCTATGTGAGTCGCGGCATTCGATTTGAAAGAGCTCTCGACTCAGTTGGGCACAAGAGCATAAGGGCATGTCTGAAAGCGCTAGGCGTACAACCCGGATATATTGCACTACTTCGGCAGCTCTGCGAGGGACAGCGCTACGGCACCGCAACAGCAAACACTTGAGCCTTCTGCGGGGCACGAAGCAGGGTCACCCACCCAGCCCCCTACTTTTCAACGCCCTTTGCAACGCATGCTTGGTATGCTGGTCCCCGAATGGCAGCGGAAAGTGAAGGGATTTGGCTTGGGCTTCGCGAGCGCCGCCGCGCTTGCCAGCCTTCGCTTCGTTGACGACGTACTCCTGACGAGCCAAACTCCCGCGTCCAATTATGATGTTTGACGACATTGCGCGCACGGCAAAGCCGCGCGGGCTCGAACCGAACAAAGCAGAAACCATCCAACCGGACGATAAGGACTGGGAGGGCGAGCTTACGCACATCGCGTGTCCAAGAAATGGATGCCTAACCCATTACATACGAGGGTCATCTTCCAGGAGCCGATGGACACGGAACGCGCGAAAGCAACATGGGCATCGCTCATTTCGCAAACCAGAGCTGATCAGCAAGCATGACCGTCTGGCTCACCGACTCTGGCTATCCAACAGCTCTGCATCACCGACGATATTGTACAGAGCAGAGACGTGGACCCCCACGGAGTCCTTCAGGCATCATTTACGACTGACGCAACGACGCATGCTCCGCACGATCATCAGAATGCCGCGGCGACGCACAATGCAAAAGGCAGACCTTCACATCAGCCAGAAACCCATTGCTTTCGACAGCACAAGCAACGAGACACCAGACAATGACCTCAGCACTAACAGCACTAGCGACGACGCAGGCAGCAACCCACGTAAGCGCGAAACACGGATCACGCCCGACATGCACAGCGAGAGCGGCAAAGACAGCCCAACTGAAGACCCGTGGGGACCTTCGGTTGGGTCGAAAACATTCAGAGAGCGGCAACGACGAGTAGAGCACTGTATGACACATCATGGCATCGACATTTGGGTTACGGAACACAAGCGACAATTATGGCGCATGGTTTGAAGTGTCGCAAACCACGACCGAACAACGTGCACATGGCGAATGCTAGAAGCAGACCTCAACCGACGCTAGCAGGGACGGAGGCAGGACTCTGGAGCCGTTTTTTGTTCTTGACAGTTTTTTTTGGAGGTAAAACAAATCTGGGCGATAACGCTCGTGATCGCCCCCGCCCCTCCCCCCCCGATCACGTAATTAAGCCGACGATTTCAATATACCCACTTTCCGAGGACGTCTCAGGCGAAACGCCCATGTATAGTAACATACGTCTTAAGATACGACCCCCAACTCCACGACTTGGCGAGGATGTCTCAGGCGAAACGATAGTTTTTCAAACCTTCCCTGCCATGAACGGGAAGCGCGTGAAAGGGAAGAGTTGCGCAATAACTTGCAGCATCATCGCGATCAACCGGGAAAAAGACAAACGGGGAACAGTTGTGCAAAACGGCGAAGATGACGACCGGGGACAAGGGGAGATGGAGAGGGGGAGGAGGAGGAGGAGGAGGAGGAGGAGGAGGAGGAGGAGGAGGAGGAGGAGGAGGAGGAGGAGGAGGAGGAGGAGGAGGGGAGGGGAGGATGAGGAAGAGGAGGAGGAGGAAGGGGAGAAGGAGCAGCAACAGGCAGCAGCATAATCTCAAGATGTTCCCAGGAATTCCTCAATCCCCTCTTCCTCCTCTGCTCCCTCTCCCTTTTCCTTATCTTCCTCTCCCTTTCAGGGTCGAGTCTAGCCTGATCTTCCTCTTCCCGAGGGCCCGGGGGTTCGAAAAAGGCCCCGGGAGGCCGAAACCCGCCGTGATGTGATCGGAGGGCCCCCCCCCGATCAACCCGTTATCGCCGGTAATACAAAAAACAGGCTCCTGGCCAGCGCAAGCGTTGGGAGAAGCCAACGCCGGCTTACGCCATCGCAGACCAGACCTCCACCAATCATCTACACAGACCCAATCGAGAGGACAGCCAAGCGACATCCTATGTACGTAAACAGCAGAAGGTACCGAAACATGGGCGGCGCTCGGGAATCATTCCACCGACTTCACAAGAGCAAACACCCATGACCCAAACCCATAAACTGGACGCCAAGAACATGTAGATAAAACACGCCTAGCCCGCGCTGACACCGACACACATGACTCCCTTTTCTTCCACATCCTGCTCTCCTCCTAACTGTTTTGGTGTTTCGCTCTGCGCGTGTCCAGGCAAGCCAAATTCCCGAAGGCCACGGCCTCACCCATCTGGTCTGAGCTCGGCCTAGGTACTGTCCGCAACCGTGGTCGCATCGCATCACATCCTCTGCCCCCCGCTCGATGTGACAGCTGGCCATTGTCGCAACTGGCAGGGCGAAACGCATCCTGTGCAGTAGCCTTCGGATCTGCCCGTCGGCCAGTGCTGATGTTAGCAGAGGAGCATCCGAACCCAAGGAGTGTTGCAAGTTGTCTTTGTCGATAGACATCTTGCCAATGGCGCTAGTCTGGGCACACTCCCTCCCCTTCCAGCGACGAGAGAACGAGAGAGAGAGAGAGAGATAGAAAGAGAACAAACATAACAGAGAGGCAGAGTGGAATGGCAACGTTGCAAAATAGCCCAAAGCTCAGGATGAGAAGGAGGGAGGGAGGAGCAGCACAGAGCAGTGGCTCTATCACAGCACCTGCATACCACCCTTGCGCCTGTAACCCTTCACTTCTGCTCAAAAGACAGGCGGCGACGATGACGTCCGAGAGGAGTTATCCATGGTCATCCGACCTCTGCGCAAATCGGACAATGCTGCCGCGGCGCAATTATTGTGTCTGCCCGAAGGCTGGGGCAGCTCGGAGAGACGCATCTCGGAGGTCTGCTGGGCACAGAGGGCCGCAGCAACACCGAGGAGAACCCCACCAAGGAATGCGTGGCCATGCAGGCCAACAGGACGAGGTTGATGATTGAGGAGCCCTGGGCGGGCGGGGGATGGGGGATGGAAAAGGGGGAGGCGGCGCAGGGAGGGGAGGTGGACGGAGGGAGGGGGGGGGAGAAGGGAGGGGGGGAGGAGGGCAGGTTGTTCTTGAGCATCGATCCTGCGACGAGCCCTTTCGATAGCGCCGTTGAAGCCTACTGGATGGCGTGCCCTCGCTGCCACGTCGTGATGCTGTCACGACGTGGGCATCGGAGCTTCCACACGCATCCACGGGGCCGGCTTTGTGCCACGTGAACTTCTTTAGATTTATGCCCTGGGCACGAGAACGACCCCAGGGCGCCAACGTCGTGGATTCTACCATGTTTGTCGTGTATTGGGGTCTGAGCGAGCGGGGCAAATGGTTCCTTCTCATCCTCCTCTTTCTTCCAGTCTTCCTACCTGTCATCCTCTTTCTGGATTTAACAGGTTTGTGCACGAAGTGAGGAGCCCATGGAAATTGCTAGGGCGAGTCGTGGCGCACCATGTTGTACCAACATGCATCCATGTTGGGCTGACACAGGTTTGGCACGGGGACCGCCGATCATCTGGCGCGACTCTGCAGTCCCGGGAAGCGGACGTCGGTAGATTCAGACCACGGAGGGTGAGAAGGATTAGGAGGAGGAACAGGGGGAGGAGTGGGGCCTCTTGGGGGATTGTTCGGGGCCTCTTGGGTTCTTTGCGAGCGGGGTAAATGTTTCCTCCTCCTCCTCCTCCTCCCCGTTTCCTCTTCCTCCTTTCCCTCCCTTTCATCCTCCTCGGTAACTCCGCTTGACGGATCACCTGGGACAGCAGATTCAATAAACGCTATTCGTGGTCTGCTCGCGATTCGAGATCATGGCACCCAATGCATAGATCAAGCAGCACTGCCGCGCTGGTTGTGCGATTTGCGGTACCAATCGCCGCCCTTCCCCCACCAGCCCAGCACCTGGAGACTTGGCTCTGACCATCGAGGTCCTGATCGACCTTCACGCTTCGCGGCACGGGCCAGAGAAGCCCTCCTTCTCCAGGGGTCTGCGCGGGAGCGCGAAGGAAGTAGTCGCGCTTCGCCTAGCACGAAGCGCGGCCGACGACAGCGACGACGGCGAAAATGACGACGACGCAGACGACGACGACGACGACGACGACGACGACGACGACGACGACGAGGACTGTGGGAGGCGGTCATCGTCGCCAATCGAAGCGGGACTCTGCTTTCCGCCGCCCCGTGGTGGCCGTTCAAAGCGCCCCCCATCCATCGGTGGGGTTCCTAAGTTCTCAGCCCTGAAAGTCGTATGGATTTCGCGCCGTGGGCCGCTCTTTGCGGATCCCCAGGCCCGAAGCGGGCCCCCAGAGTCTGGTATCGCTCGGACGTGTGCATCTCTTCTCGGCGAGGAGGAGCACCTTGGATCATCTGAGGAACAACAAGGACACGCGCGAAACCTGAAGCTGCCCTGGGCAGGGACCTCCGAGCGATGGCGAGAGAGGCCCGCTGCAGAAGCCCAGGCCACCGACGTCGAGATGTCTTGCAGACTTTGCGGCGGCGCCCAGGGCTGCGAGGCGCGCCGGCCGCCCCGGACACCCTCTGGCAGGGCGTCGGGGGCCTGCGCCGCCCGTGCACGGAGGGGCCGCGCGCTCCTGGGCGGGGCCGGCGAGGGGGCGGCCCCCCTCCGCCTCGGGAGCAGCGGCTTCTCGGCAGCGCGCGGGAGCGAGAGCGGCCGGCGGGGGGTGTTTTTTTTTCTGAGAAGGGGGGGGTGCTCCTGGGAGCCTTCGCTCGGACCCCCCCCCCGTCTTCTCTCAGGAGGAAAGGAAACACACAGACACAATTAATCGCCGATTCCTCCAGAAAATACGGGAAAATATGGGGAATATCTTTATTTGTGTGTATTTATTTGTGTGTCCTGGGGCCTCTTCATTCTCGGAGAGCGCCCCCTCCCCGCCCCCCCCCCCCTCGCTGCTTCATGACTGCTCCTCGGCCTCCACGGGCCTCTGGCGCCCAGGGCTCGGAGCGCCGCGCCCCCGGAGCTCGGCATGGGGCCCCCCTCGGGGGCTGCGGAGGGCAGCCCGCAGGGCGAGTTCCATGGGGTCTAGAAGAAGTAGTTTCACGGAGGATTGCAACAAAAACCCTTCGCTTGAACGAAGGGTTGCAAAAAAAACCCTTCGCGCAGGGCGAGATCCATGGGGTCTACAAGAAGTACCTTCACCTGGCGGCTCGAAAGATGACGTGAGTATGTGTCTCGCCATGCTCAGCCTTCGGGGGACGTTTCTGATGGCCCCGGGCCATATACTCCAGATTTCGTAATAAAAGGAAGGGGGTCTGGACCCTCCAAGACCAGCCATTTCAGACCCCCCCGTGGGAGAACCCTCCAGAACATCGCCCCCAGAACCCCCAGGCCCTCCAAGATAGCCTGGAAGAGACCCCCCCCCCCGAAATGAGACCCCCCTCCCTTTATTACGAAATCTGGAGTATGTTTCTCGCTGTGCTCAGCCTTCGGGGGGCGTTTCTGGGGGCCCCGGGCCATAAAGCCAGCCCCAGGTGAGGGGTCGAGAGCTCCAGGGGCCAATCACTCGATCCACTCGAGTGGTTGAAGGTCTGAGGATCCGCACAGAACTGTAGTTTTATGTTGTCCCCCTTCTACTTAAGAACCGCTGGAACCGCTGCGTGTACGACCTCGCATGCCAGGCAGCAGGTGGACCAGCACCTCTGCAAGACTTGTGGCAAGGTTCCGCACACGCGCGGCGCGCAGCTGCTAGGCGCCTCTGCTTCTGAGCACCGGTATGAGCCCGAGTGCCACTATTGCCAATGCACCCTGGACGTGCACGGCTCGCTCTCTCTCTCTCTCTCTCTCTCTCTCTCTCTTTTATTTAAAGACCACATCCCAGAAATAATTTCGAGCACCCGGAACAGTGTGTCGAAAGAGTATCGAAACAGTGCCGGGCGAGTGTCTCCCAGGGCCCGACGCGTGAAAACCATCGAGTGTCGGTATGTGTTGGGTGCTGGAATTTCTTTCTGGTGGTCAAGGCTGCAGTAGGTTGGAACATCATAGCTATAGTCCCCAGACTTCACCAGGGGCCCATTTGGGCTGGTCTTCCGAGTCACACCAGGTCGCAGGGGCCGAGAGCAGCGAGAGAGATGATCAAGGATTCTTGAACAAAAATGTCCTTGGATGTTTGCGTCTAGAGCTTCGCGCATTGACAGCGCCAGGACATGCCAGAGGCCAGGGGGCGACTTCCCCCCCCCCCCCCCGCCCTGCAGGAGGAGTGGCTCGCGCGGCCCCGGGTGCTGGCCACGTGGAGCTGAGCCCCGGCCAGTTCCGGCGGGAGTGCGCGCTTCCATGTTTGCCGCGGCGCGCGCGAGGGCTTGGGGCCGAGGGTCGGACGGGGCCAGGACGAGCTTAAGTCCGTACTAGAGTGTTTTGGAACGCTCTCAGAACGTTCCGGAAAACTCTGAGGAGGCCGCGGCGCCCCAGACATCCCCCAAATCCGACGTATCTCAGAGATTCTCGATTTATCATCATCCGATGTTATCCTCACCCTGGCTTCGTCTTAGACTGGGTTAGACCTCGAGGAGGCGTGGCCTCTGAATGATTCTGACCTCTTCCGCCCAGGTGGCCACGGCTGGGCGCAGCTCGAAGAGGGGCCGGGGTGTGCCCTGGGAGGGATCCAGGGCCAGTCTCGAGAAGGTTGAGTCGGGGGTGGAGCGAGAGAGAGAGAGGGAGGCTTGATCAGGGACCGACTGTCCCGGCCTCCTCTAGGCCTACCACGAAATTTCCTTAGTTCAACGGAATGTTCTCGCAACAAAAGCAATGCACTCACGCTAAAACGAGACAGTCGAAGCCAGTTCCGCGCAATACACAAAACGTAATTTGAACATTGTTTGGCGGGCCTACTTAGGCGAACCAGGACGCTTCGCCACTTCTTGAGAGGCGGCGTCCGAAGGTCTGAGAAGGCCGGGAGGCTCTTCGGAGTCCTCACCGCCTCCCAGGAAAAAACATTTGAGGAACCTGATGGCCCCCCTCTGCGGAGCAGCCTGCGTTCTCAGAAGACGACCCACACCCCCCTTCACCTCCCTCGTGAGCCTTGGCATCGCTCGGGCGTGTGCATTTGCTCCCGGCGAGGACATTCGAGTCCTCGAGGAGCATCTTGGGTCACCTTGCAAACAGAGAAACGCACGAAACCGAAACGTGAGCGGGCAATGGACGTCCGAGCGACGGCAGGGAGCCGCCGACTGCTCCAGGGGGCGGCCCCGCCGCGCTTGGTGGCAACCCCACGAGTTGGCGGAGAGAGGCTCCTGTGTTGGCCTCCCGCCGATTTCGGGCGCCCTGCCACACGCGAGCACGCGGCGGCCCGCGGAGCACACGAGGAGGGCACGACTGCCCCCGCCCCAGACCACCGGCCTCTGGAAACAATCGGGACGGTGGTTTTCGCCGCTGGAGGCGTCCAGGGGCCGCTTGCGGGCGCCAGGGCCACCAGAAAACTATCCGGGATGGGAGACATGTCCCTGGGGAAGTTGTCGAGAGGTCCCGGGCGCTTCGTATCGGAACCACTGGCGTCCAAGGTCTGGGACCCTTCCCTCCGCACGCCCGCCAACAATGAATGCCAGCTGACTCCCAGGCGCCGCCATTCCCATAGCAAAAACAGAGTACGTACTTGCGTTTTTTCGCAATTTGGGTGTCCAGGGACCGCCTTCGGGCCTCGGGACAGCCTGCCCGCGGCGAGAAATCGGCCCCGGGGATGGGGTCGCGCGAGCTCTGGGGGGCCCGCACCATGAACCACAACAGTTTGGTCGCAGCGAAGGCGATCGCGCATCGCGCCCGTAGCCTGAGAACCACAACGCGACGCGGAAGGTCCACCACGCGCCCTCTTCTGGACCTGCCCTCCGCGCCAGGATCTTCTCCAGACAGGCACGGGTGGGTGCGTTTTCTGCCTTTCTTTTTTCGCGGGATGGTAGCTTTTAATCCCCCCTCGGGGCGGCGACGGCCTGGCAGATTGTGCCAGGACTGGTGCCAGCGCCGGCGGCTCTGGTGGTGACCGTCGCCGCCAGATCGGAAAAAGTCGGCGCGGTCGCCCTCAGATCTGTCGTGGAATATACAACGACGCGATATCCCGCCCTCGCCTCGGTCATCGGAATCTTCGCACATCGATCGTGCCCTACATCAAGTACAAATCCCGCCCACAGATGGGTCCCAGGGGTTTGGTCGTGCTGTCATTCCCACAGAGGTGCGACTTTTCCACGGCTCTGGAACTCAGGGCGGTGCAGAGTGAGCGCGCTTGTCTTGGCGGTCCTCAGGGGGCGTGGTTTCCGGCGTGCGTTCCAGTCTGGGCGATTGGGCCCCCTCCCCCTTCTCTCTCCCAGCACGTGCTGCGTGGCTCCCGATTCCGCGGTTCGGCGGGAGAGCCAGGATGCGGACCTTGCAGCCGCCGCACATGATGAGGATGTGGTGTTTTCCCAGTGATGTCATTACATCCCTCATCTGTCGGCCCATGCTGGGGCAATTCTGCCGTATCGTGAGATAGCAATTCATCAGAGGTTCTTCCCAGTACTAGTTCGTCTCAGGCGGTGGCAAATGGCAGGAAACGGGAGCACATGGCGGAGAACATGGCAGCAAATGGCAGCAACGTTTTAGTGCCAATGCGTCAGTTCATGCATAAGTCTGAAGGTGAGTGAGTCTGAGCACGAGATGCTTAAGTATGAGTACCTGTGTATGCGTGGCTCTTCTTCCTCGGGGCCTCGCCAGCGGGCCGTCAATGTGGAAGGTTCGTGGGGGGGGCAGAACGCACCGTTGAACATGGGAGCTCGCGATTGCGCGGCCGCCTGCGCACTCTTCGAGGAACGCAGAACACGGCGGGGCCTGCAAAGCTTGAGCAAGACTTCGCAGGGTAATTTGCGCTCCGCGTGGTGTCGCAGGCAATTTGGAGGCTCTTGGCACAAGTTCGCGATCGTTTGCAAACACGTCGGGAGCAGTTTTGGTGACTTTTGAGGAAAAGAACCCAAACTCAGTCTGGCGGCACTTTGGAGGCAATTTGCGAAAGTTTGCAAGGGAGATGGTCTCCAATACTGTTCGACAGTTCTAAAGCAGTTTGCGAACGTTTGCAAGCCGTTTGCAAGAACGTTTTGTTGTTGTCGTGGGAAAAGCGCCCTAAATTGCATTCTGACGGGGCTGTGGAAGCGCGTTGGGAACGTTGGTGGGCACGGAGGCATGTGGGTGTTTACTTGGGCACTTTAGCAACATCCTGCAAATGTCTGCGAACGTGCGCAACTTCCGGACACCTCCACAACAATTTGCGAACGTTTGCGATCATGCCACCGCAGTTTTGGGTATGTGTTTGTATCTATGTGCACTTGTGAACATTTCGGATGCATGTTTGGGGCACGTTTTGGCAATTCAGTGGCACGTCTCGAACGTCCGCGGAAGGTTGAAAGCACGTTTGTGGGCACGTTTGCCGGAAAGTGCACAACAATTACCAAAGGTGCCCGACAGTGCCTCCGACGTGAGCAGCGAAAACGTTGCAAGTGTCGCGGGACTGCCTTGAACTGATTCCAAAATGATTGCAAACGTTTGCAAAGCGCCTCATTCATGTTTTAAGCGAAAGCGCTTGCAAATGTTCGCGAACGGTCGCAATGTGTTTTCCAACTTGCCCGAAATATCCTGGAAGTGTTTTCACAGTGCTTGCAAACGCTCGCAAACGTTCGCGCATTGCTTCAACAGTGCCGGGAAGGGCTTCCGAGGCACTGGCAAACGTTCGCAGAGCGTTTCCAAATAACCGCCAGCATGTTTTGGGTACTCTTCCAGAACATGTGCGTTAAAGTGCCCAATGTTTTTCCGACGCGCTTGGAAACGTTCGCAAGTTTTCGCACAGCGTTTAAAAAACACCCAACAATTTGAGGAGGAGGAGGAGGAAGTGGAGGAGGAGGAGGAGGAAGTGGAGGAGGAGGAGGAGGAGGAGGAGGAGGAGAAGGGGAGAGACGGGAGGAAGATGCGGAGCCTGATTCGGAAGATTCGGACGAGGAGGAATGAGGGGCTGGGCGGGGGAGAAGAGGGGGAATGATGAGGAAGAGGAGAGGGGAGGGGGATGGTGGAGCGAGAGGAGGGGGATGAGGTAAGAGGGCGACGAGGAGGAGAGCAATTACGAGGAGTGGACGAGGACGATGACGACGGTAGGGTGCGAGAGAAATTGTCATGGTACTGCTGATACGAGTAGCAGCGTCATCAGCAATAGTTGTTGTTTGCAGTTGTTTTTGTCGTACCTGTTGTTTTGTGTTGCTGCAAGTGGGCGCTATGGAGGCACGTTGCGAACGGTTGCGAGCGTTTGCGGTTACGTTTGGGCAATTTGGAACATTTAAATGACGCCCAATGAGTGTCATCACAGTCGCCGTGTAAGTCCCCCCAGGGGACCTCTGTGGCAATAGTTTGGTTTCGTTTGCAACATGTTCAGAACGGCCCCCAAGAATTTGTGACGCTTCGCGTGCCCCCACCGACCTATCAAGAAAGGATCCCCAGGCCACTTGCGTTGATCAGGGAATGTTATTTGCGGACCTTCTGAACAGGGGGAGGAGGAGGAGGGAGGAGAAGGAGGAGGAGGAGGAGGACGACGAGGTGGGAGAGGCGCAGCAGGAGGAGGAGGAGGAGGAGACAGAATTGAAGGAAGAGGGGCGATGACATGGAAGGATCGGGGGATGGAGGGACGGACGGATGGAGGAAGGAGGGTTGAGCAAGGACACGTGGATGATTAGAGGACTTGGTGACGAGGGAGGGAGGGCGGAGGGAGGAATGAGGAAATATTGATGGGTCGAGGGATTGACGGAAGCATGAAGTAGGGTCGAGTGATGGAGAGATGAGGGAGCAGGTCGGATGCAGCATGAATTGTGGAAGGAGTGATGTGACGAAGGAGGGATGGGACGATGACCGACGACAGGATGTGATGAGGGATGAAGGGTGACTGACGAATAGAGGGAGGAGGCAGGAGGGATGAGTTGATGGTTAGGAGAGACTGGGGCAGGGAGGGATGCAGGAAGGAGGGAGGGAGTGAGGAGTGATGGATGGGTAGAAAGATCGAGGAGTAGATAGGGATGCATACACGAGGGGTCAGAAGTGACGGAAATATGTGCAGAGGGAGGACGGGTGGAAGGATAGAGGATGCAAGGGTAGAAGGATTGACGGGGGGCGGTTCGTGAAAAGGAGGAGGTGGGATGGGAGGATGGAGGATGGACGGAGGGATGAAATTTAGCTTGCGCTAGGGACAGAAATGCAGTACGATTGATACTGTTGTGCTCTTCATTCTTGCGCTGCTCCAAAGGTA